GCATTGTTCATATTTTCAATGCAGACAACGTCGCCTTATACCGACTTCTCTATCAGATGTAATTGAAGAGCGATACCGTATCAGTTGTTGCTTCCGATGCAAGTTGATCTGTATGAACGTGTCAAACGAGATCTCGTTGTGTATACAAATTGAGAAATAAGACTATGTAACAAGCCCTTAAACATCATATATACTAAATTTATCAGGTGTTCATTTGAAGTTACTCCAAATAAATAAGTTTTTGTTTGATACAATGCAATCTAATCCCAGAACCGTGAAATTAAAATTTTCGTGGGTTTTATTCACTATTCCAATAACTATTCTTGTCGTACTATTTCTTGCATTCAATGCGTCTGTAAAATGTAAAACATTTGAATAGTTTCAGCGAATTTGCACGAGATGTGAAAAATGAGTCATATTTTCATGCATAACTAAAAGAGTATAAAGATAAAACAAGAGAAGCCATCCACCAGTAATACAACTATTACAACATGTTAGTTCGGTTTTGAGATCGGTTTCCACAGAATATAAAAAAGTTTAATTCATGTAATAAAAAAGTTGTACAGCAAAGGTATTCAAATGATTGTGTAAACAGAAAAAAACACGCATAATGTGAAATTAACTTCATGCCATGTTACATTGGGGAATAACTTGACATCATAAGGTTACTTGTCATTACCGGATAGTCTGTTAAGAGCCATTTCGAGATCCAAATGCTAACATACTGCACGAAACTGGTTATTTTGTATGATCCTGTTCGCATAAATACTGGCCTCGGTGTGGTAACTCAGAGGCTTTGGTTTGATATTTGTGTCGATAAACTATTTAATTAAATAGTAAAATCGTCGCAGTTATAAACAGCTAAATGTAATCTGCGATCCATGATAATGCTAGAAATAGCTAATTTTCATGTTAACATCTCTTATATAGAATGCTAAGACGCAATAACAAACCCAGAAAGAGGATTGCTCATTTCCTGTGCACTCAAACCAGTAAACAAGGTCAAGGACTTAAGCCACTAGCCATTACGAAATTAGGGCAGACTGGATTTCAAGAACTCATGTGCTGAAGTTAAATTACGTGATGTTGACTTGGATTAAAAGTACATTTCACCAACTTTGAAACTACGCACAATTTTGAGAATTACTTCGTTTTAAAGTCAGAAAGAATATTATTATTTAACATATTAATTAGTAAACGCCGCTTAGTATCCATATCAAGAAAGTAAAACAAATAATGCAAATATACATGCCGGAAAAAAATTTGTTTTCATTATATACCAAACTTCTTCAAGTTTAGACGATTGATTTTTGTCCCGTACATAAGCTCATCCTATTTGGCAAATTTAATGACATTCACTACTGGCTGGTCATATAAAAATATAAAAGCGCACTAGAATTGGGATGACCTAATGACTTCCAGTAAATTACATTTTTGACATTTTGTACATGTTGACTTTCGAGCACATCACATTTAGGAATGCATCACAGCTGATTTATAATTGTTGCCAAGAAAGCAGGGGGACATAACTTCATTATGATGAGAAAAGCGTCGATTGAGACTTATTCAACAAATAACAATTTCCCTATCTAAAAGGCAATGCTGTTTCCAGTTATTTTTTTAAAGCTTACAAATTGTTCATTCTCCTTGCTAAATATATACATATAATCAAACATTGAATGGCATAAGAGGAAATATTGTATTTTTACATTCAAAAATTAAAGGTTATATTTTTCAAATGTGAAAATATAGGAACAAAAAATGCAAATTATTTCATCAGTAATTCCATATTGTGTAGTCTATGCTAGTTTTCTCCAATTCAAACCTTATTTTCTCTTTAATCGGGATCGAAATAGCAAACACATCCTTCTTCGCATGTAGCAATCTCAATTAGCATGTGTTTGCTCACTCCTTTTATATATAGCGAGTAGCTGTTGACAGATTTCAATGGATTCATGGCTATATTATTTTTTTTAAAAAAAACTACGAAGTCACCACATAATTGTAGGATTAGGAAGAGAATTCCATCCGTAAACTTTATTCGCTTTGGCCTGATAATAGTACTTAGAGAGCACCAGGAATGAACCGTATGCAGTTTGCTCAGTAGCAGAACTGTTCTCCTTCTCGAGAGTTTTCGCTTCATTGTCATTGACTTATGTTACGTCACATGTCAATATAAGCAGGTGTCCGGTGTAATGCACATGCAGCTGTATATCCTTTTATTTTTCAGATCAATAATCATGAAGTTTTGTCTTTTGATCGACGTTAAGGTTATTGATATGATCAACAAAATCAAAAAGTTATCCAAATAATTATTCAGCACGTTTAAACTACCCTTCAAATTAACAGTGGGATGCCACTAGGCAGTCACACATGGTTTAAGTGGTGGACTCGTCACAACTGTAATAGCCACTGCAAATCAATATTTCTTTCTGTCGAACTAGGAATGATTTTTGAAAAATACACTTTTAATAGGGAGCAATTAGGGTCAGTAACAATAATTGGGATCATAAACGAGAATATAACATCAAACAGGCACCTGATGGTCAAAACAGGACACATGGGGCTCAAAAACATGTACATGGGAATTATGACTGGAATTTAAAATTGAAAACAAAGGTTGAGATTTATTCGGTCAGACGTACAGATATCCCACATATCCATCAAATAGAAATATTATTGTAAACCGATAAACCATGTGTCCAGTATTATCCAACATATTCTTTTTCATATACCGCCCAACACACACGTTTTAGTTGTATCTAACACCTACTTCTTGATTGCTATTCACCATCTCATACGTACTATGCGGAACACCTGGTGTAGTGACTAAAAGCCAAGAACTGCTTTCCAACGAAAAAGGTATGATGTAAAAGATCGGTAAATCACACAAACATTCTACTACATACCTATTGAGTACTATCCAATACTTCATACGTATTAACCACATTGCCTTGTGTTGTGTCTGAAAAAAACCTTCTCCTACTATCCTACTAACACTCACTTTTTATATACTATCCATCACCTGCTTGTTGATTCACTATCAAACACCGACCTTTGAAATTTATACACCTACTTTGTGATTATTATCCAACATCCCATACCCTCCTACCCAAAACACGTTTCGCTTACTATCCAGCATACACGTTTTGAGTACTATAAACACTCCATACATTATATTCAAAACACTTTGTGTATTGTCCAAAACAATCCCGCGCCTTCTGTCCGCCGAAATGTTTGTAAATTCACAGAAATATTCTAACCAAGATCAATTTTGAGTACTATTCAACACCCACGTTTTGATTATTATCCATCATGGTACTTTCGAGTGCTATTCGTCACACATTTTGATATACTATCCAAATTTTTGTTTTTAAAATACTATTTAACACACACTTTTTATTACCATCCATCACCTATCTTTAGATTATTATTTATCACCCATGTATAATCAAAAATGCCTTGTGTGATATCTACAAATATCCACAGAGTCTTTCCAACGAAATTGGGATGGCGTATAACGACTGTGAGAAAATATTACAACACACTATCACAGCACATCAAAGCTTAAGATTGGTACCCGGACGTGAAAGAGAACAGTTGTCATTTTCTATCCGCGGAATTAAATGAAAGCAGTGTTTTTTTTAAACAAACATCGATAGAGATATTGTTAAAGAGCATCAGTTTGCTTGACAAAAGCACGTCAAAACAATATTTGCATTTTTTTTAAATAATGCCGCGTGAACAGAGGCATTTTGGGCATGTTTCAGATATTGGAGATTTTAGGCAAGACTGAGCCTGAGCATTCATTCTCCCAGTTGGTGCACGATCACCTGTCTTTGCTTTTAAAATAGTTCGAGAGCTACTTCCCAACCACAGAAGACCCACGAACAGGTAAGGAAAGGATCCGCGACCCATTTGTCAACAAACCAGGCAAATCTAGCATGTCTGTGCAAGAATAAGATAAACTGCTGCAGATTGCAAATGATGGTAGCCTTAAAACTACGTTCGAGACAACAACTCTGCCTGTGTTTTGGATTAAAGTCATTGAGGAATACCCTGAGATTGCCACCACAGCACTTAAATCCCTATTGCCATTTATACATCCTATCAGTGTGAAGCGGAGTTTTATGCAGTGACAGCAACCGAAACAAAACAACGGAATAAACTGGACATAAGCTACACACTTCGGGTGTCATTGTCTCCTATTATCCCCAGATGGAACCGTCTCGTTGCAAAGAAACAAGTTCACGGTTCTCATTGATTTAGCGTTCTAGTGAGTTAAAATGTTAAATCCCTTTATATTCATTTTTGGTGTAACTGTATTTTATTTTGAAGGCATGTTTAAATACAATCAAATTAAAATTATTAAATCAAAACAATCTAAAATATAAACAATTAACGTCCCCCTCAGCTGGCCGCGGTAATATTATATAACGTTGACCGGTCCGCGGCGATAAAAGGTTTGGGGAACACTGGTTTAGTCTATGTGTATTTGTTTATTTCCTTATTCTACAGTTTCCTCTAACGACCATATGTATTTCTGAATTTAGTGCTCACTTACAGAAAAGAGAGGATTATCTTAAATTAGTAAAAACTGTAATTAGCCAAGTTAATTGTAATTCATTCCTTTTAAATTTAAGGGAAATACATTATATTTTTCAATTGTGCCAAATTTTTCGGATTTGATTTTACTTGTTAAGTAGTTTGAGACCTAAAGTCGTGATAATATTGACATCTTTGGGTCTTCTTCAGTGATTATGATGTGATTATGATTTTTAACGTAGCTTTAAGAATTTTTCAGTCATATCGCTACGACGTCTGCAGTGTGGCAGTTTATACTGATGTCTATCACTGGGGCATCATGCTGCACACATGTAGCATGATGTCGCACCCAGTCACATTATCCTGACACCAGTCCGACCAGTCCTAACACTAACCTCTTAATACTGAGCGCCAAGCGAGGAAGCTGTTAGTACCATTTTTGTAAGTCTTTCGTATGACTCGACCGGGCATTGAATCCATGACCTCCCGCATCTGAGGCAGACGCTCTAACCACTTGGCCACAGGAGCGGTCAGGTCTACTTCATGTATGATCAATGTTTTGAAAGTACTTCAGTTTAAATTAGGCAAGACACTTCGAAAGGATATATTTTTAAACATCTGCCCATGAATTTTATATGCTTATGTTATGGGTTTAGCGCCATTTTGATCACATGATAGGTTGTACATGACTGTCAGTATATCTGGTGGAGGAAGAGCCAAACAAATAAGTAAATTTTTAACATTTTATATATTGTCTCATCTTATTTTGCTGACCTTCCACAACCATTGAATGGTGCGTCAAACAGTTTAGAAATAAGATTAATAATTCGGTATAATTGATCAAACATTCTTTTTTAAATGACATTTGTAACGGAAAAGACGACAGAATGAAATGAACATGCTACTAGGTGATTATCAAGACCGTTTGCACACACACAATCATTTTGTCATGTACATATGATCACGAAGACTGAACAAATTAACTGAACCTCCCAATCAATCATAGACAATATGTACTGTTCGTTGCGATAATTTTATGTATTGGCAGGCAGCAGCCAAATCACTAGAGGAGGGAAAATGTAATTACTGCAAAAAAAAAAAACAAGGTTGGTGATAAGTATTATTATTTATTAATTTCTACTCTTTTCGAGAGGAAAGAGTTAGACTTCTGAAACCCTACTACTTTTTGTCTTGATTCTAATGCTTATTTTTCATTTTGAGTAATCAGAAATAACGTGTCCTTTCTTCAAACGTTCGATTTCTAAACGTTGTGTCACAGAAAGATTTAGAAGGACTATTATTAGGCTGAAATACCTTTTGACCAGAAGACTACTGAGGAAGACTTGCCTACAAAAGAAACGTTATGATAACTCTTAATGTCACTATGGTCACAGTTCTTGAACTCTTCAAGTAATACAACTTATCTAAGACTTTTATAATTTTGACCAACTTTCTTAGCTAAGCACTATTTATCAAAAACTGCTGTGTTTCTGTTGCAAATTCGATATGAGTTTGTCCAGCTTCTTTTTTATAGTTTGTAAAGTTTTGCCGGTGTGTCTCAGGTGCTAACTCATAACCCTTTAAGATGCATGCCTGAACCAGATCATAGTCAGCACCTTTCTGTAGTGACAGTGAAAAATAAATATCACTAGCTTTACTAGTAAATACACATGAAAAAAGAGTCCAATGCTCCCTTACCATTTCAAATTTGCAGCAAGTTTTTCAAAACGAGGAAAATATTTGACTACTTTTTCTCTTCAAGGGCGCACTAACCTAATATTCTTAGTAACATTAAAACTTGAATTCGTATGTGAAGTGGGAATGTGCTTTACACTTGGCATCTCAATTTTTTCAACCTAATTCGAAATTCCCTTTTGTCCTTTTCTCTTTGCATTAGCACTCGCAGCTGTCTCTTCCTTCTCTTTCTCCAATTGTAACTGCATTTGTCTCTCTCTCTTCTTTCTTCAATTTGAACTGCATTTGTTTCTCTTCTTTCTCTCTCTCTCTCCTCTTTCTCAAGTACCAACTGCACTTGTTTCTCTCTCTTCTTTGTCCTTTATCATTTGTTTCTCCTAATTAACTATCTGAAGTTCAAGCTTTCTTAATTCTAATTCCATCTTTTATTGCAATTTTAATTTCCTAATAGTTATGTCAGAGTCTGATAAGACTGATCGAAACCTAAGAATTTTATCAAAAACACCCTTTTCCACCAAATACTGGTCCAAAATGGTTTTAAAGAACCTTTTGCCTCAGAATGATCATATTTTCTGGCAAATTGAAGCAATTAATCTTTTTTCAAAAGGCCTGAATGTTCCTGGGTAGGATTTGAAAGAAAGATCTCCATTTTTTATGATAGTGTAGAAAAGCCTGTTAATTTCACTCAAGATTTCTAAAATGAATAATAATGATTGTGATTTAAAAAATTCTGAAACTAGGGGAATCTAAATTTCAAAAACCAAACTGTTCTAAAATACTTTAGCTTAAACTCACATAACCCAATGACGAGCACCCAATTTTCTTGCTACGACTTAAAGCTCTTAGAAGAAGTAACAAGAAAATTGTGAACACAACAAGCTTGCAAAATTTACCAAATATTTTATTTCCCTAGAAAACCAAGTGAAAAATAAGAAAATAACATTTCCGTTTTATGAATCAAATCCAAAATAATCCATGAATTAAAAATAGAAGTCCTATTATTAATAAGTCTTAAATAAATCTAAGTTCTAGTCCCGATGAAAAACAAAAAAAAAAAGAAGGCGATGACTTCTGTCGTAACCTTCAAAGTATAGGTGTGTCAACAGTTTTTTTGTTGAATCACAGAAAATATTATTGGAGTTTTGAACTGGAGAACTTTTCATGGTTGGAGATGTAATAATGGGGCTTAATAAAGTTGAGTTACAATCCTCCTTTAAATTATCAATTTTTAATATTATCGCAGATATTGATAATTACCACATATATTAACATTATCACATATATCGATATTACCAAAGACGCTGATATTAATGCAAACATTGATACTACCACATATATTGATATTATCACAGAGACTACATTATCACCTATATTGATATTATCACATACACTGATACTGCCGCAGACATTGAAATTATCACAGGCATTGTTATTACCACAAATTTTGATATTAACACATATATTAAAAAAAATATTACAGGCACTGATATTATCACAGGTATTGATATTAACTGACACTGATGTTATCACAGACGTCGATATTTTCACCTTGATATTACCAGTGATATTGATACAAGTCACAATGTTTTATCATATATTAATTCATAATGTAGCTTTTAGTTATGTAATTTAGGTTAATGACAATAGTTTAACACTATAGAACGAACTTTAAAGGTAAGGTCACATCGCTTGTGTAGGGCACGTGCATAGTACATTGTGAGATTTCCATGCATAATCTGTCGAATTGCCAAGCTCATATCATAACTAATTTGTTTAATGTACGGCACACGTTTGTTGAATGTACGTCAAGTCAACATCAACATTTGTAATGGCATGCATGCCGTACTTGTTGATTGGCTGAATAATGAAAAAAGTCGAACCATGACTGTTTAGATATTTAACAATACAATTATTTAAATGTTCTGAAAACTTTTCTAGTGATTCAGATTGGTTTATCTGATATGTATTCGATGACTATACAATAGAATTAAAGAATTGCGTTCTCATTCTTCAGTTATATTTAGACCTGTAAGAGCCACGAGAGACAATTTGATTGGTTTATAATTTGTTCTTTGAAAATGCTAGAGGAAAACCATTTTTTTCCATCAAAGACTTCCTTTTCTTGAACACGATAGCTGAAGTTAAGCTACTAAATATACGAATAATGAGTTCTTTGATTCTCAGGAAAATCCATTATTAAATCTTCTCAGTCGCAACACGCGAAGTAGAATACAACACACACACACACACACACTTCTGAAGCAGGGCATGCTGCTGAACACCATCTTGAGGATAAAATATTTTCTTCGCGTCACGAATTATGAATTGTTATTGCTTTCAACTGTACATGCATTAACTGTTCAGGTGAGGTTCGTGCTAGTGACTGTCTTTAAAGGACTGAACTCGTTTCGTTCTAATTTGTGTCTTTTAGAAAAGGCACTTTGTTTTTCTGCCCTTTCCGTTCGTGCAACAGCAAATGCGTGTTTGATTCAGCGATGATGTCACTTAAAATCGGACGTGTCCACGAGTTTTCTTAATGCAAATGATAGAGCCTATCAGGATATTAGGTAGACGGATAATTTTTAACAGCCAATAAATAACAACTGCTTGCTACGAATAATTGCCTTAAGACTTCCGTCGAATAATATTTATCAGTCTGGCTTTCAATATTATGTTATTTATCAGAAAATCCTGTCATAGACGGATACTGTTCTATATTTAATAAATAGTGGCGATATGAAGATTTTGTAAATTGAGAAGTTATGTCACTCATGAATACCCTAAGAAAAGATAATGAAAATCGAAGAAAAATAGGATGAAATGTTTTCTTTACTTATCATGGATTTCCGAATAGGTCACAATGTGACACCTGATTCCCATATTTTGGCATGCATATTACATTTATTATCTTTGCTGCATACAAAGAAATATCGATAATTTAAAAAAAAAATATGTTCGTGCATTTGAAACTTGAATTTATTGTATTTGCCTTTACAGTATTACATTCAAGTCCATGGGAACATATACAATAACTATTCATTGAGAGTATTGTTGAAATATAAGTGGAATTTTTGTGTGGTGTGATGATCTAAGTGGAATATTTGTGTGATGTAATGGTCTAAGTGGAATATTTGTATGATGTAATGGTCTTAGTGGAATATTTATGTGGTGTGATAGTCTAAGTGGAATCTTTGCTCTGTGGTATGGTCTAAGTGGAGTCTTTGTGTGGTGTGATGGTCTAAGTAGAATATTTGTGTGCTGTCATAGTCTAAGTGGAATATTTGCGTTGTGAGATGGTCTAAGTAGAATATTTGTGTGCTGTGATGGTTTAAGTGGAATTTTTGTGTGGTGTGATAGTCTGGAATATTTGCGTTGTATGATGGTCTACGTGGAATATTTTATGTGATGTTATGGTCTAAGTGGCAATCTTTGTGTGATATGATGGCCAAAATTGAATCTTTGTGTGGTGTGATGGTCTAAGTGGAATGTAATGTTTGTGTGGCATGATGGCCAAAGTGGAATATTTCTGTGGAGTGATGGTGAAATTTGAATCTTTGTGTGATGTGATGGTCTAACTAGAATAATTTTGTGATGTGTTGGTCCAAGTGGAATCCTTGTGTTGTGTGATTGTCTGAGTGGAGTCTTTGTGTAATGTTATGATCTAAGTGGAATATCTGTGTGGTGTGATAGTCTAAGTGGAATATTTGCGTTATGTGATAGTTTACGTGAATTCTTTGTGCGATGTGTTGGTCTAAGTGGCATTTTTGTGTGGTGTGATGGTCTAAGTGGAATATGAGTATTGTTTGATAGTGAAATTGTAATCTTTGTGTGATGTGATGGTC